TTGTAATCATCAAATTCCATCTAAAATTTCAACGAAATACATATTCCAACGGATATTTTCGTTGGAATTTCTATTGGAATCATTCCAACAGAAGTTATACTATTGAAATATCTGTTGGAATTTTTATTAGAATATATTACTATAAGATTTTCTGTTCGAATATAATTTTTTTTTTTATAGTGAATATGAGAAATTAATTGTATTATATCATATATTATTCCTATGTTTATTTACGTTTTCATGCTTATAGACTCACATTCGCAAAAGTCGTAATTCTAAAAGTATAAGAACCCACGAGTTTAAAAGTATGTTGGTCTTATCTAATTAATACTATCAATCATAGGAAATAGTTGACCCAATCAAAATTTAGTAAATTTATGGCCGCACAATATGTATTGGTTCCTTTAGTTCATCTCACGAGAGTACGAGACGGCTTCACACCAAATACCCAGTTTTGTTCATAAAGATTCACTATTGATGTGGTCAAAGTCTACCCAAGTGTATCTGGATAAGGATAAACAAACTAACTAAAAAGATATATATCCCAAGATTTTGAGGGTTATAATATAATATACCTAAACTCATCAACTTGTCCCATTTGCTGTGTTCATTATAATTATGAAGACACCCATTTGTTTGAACGAGTTCATGTCAATATGCTTCACATTCTAAATAATCCAACCAATGGTATATCTAGTTGAAAATGGAAACTACAAATCCAACGGTTTGAAGGTATTATGGGGAAAATAGGCAATTGTATATTATGCATAAAAAGTAGGATAAATATATAATATTATATTTTTTGAAACATTTTTAAAAATATTGCACATATACACAAAGGATACATTTTTATTGTATATATACTAACTATTGTTCTTTTAAGTTTATATTTAGTTTATTTGTAATTTATAACATGTTTATATTATCAAATCTCGTTGTATGACAAAAAAATCATGTTCATATATCAAGCATAAACTATTAAATAATCGTTCAATAAACATTAAAATCCAAAAATTCTCATAATCGTTCAATAAACAACAAATCCATGATGTATTGAACGAATCCACGGGAGAATAAGATTATTTTATACTAACCAAGTAAATAATCTAGACCTCTCATTCTTGAGTTTATTGAATCTACCGTTTCGAAAAAAAATAAAATAAAAAATCTAGACCTCATTATTTGTTGCGTATTATTAACCCGTATGAAAATGTACGAGCATATATAGTTGGCACTTACTTAATTGATTTATCATGGATGAGACTTATTCTAGTGGGTCAACATACTCGATATTTTGGTAAGTAATGTCGACTACATGATGTGCCGTCAATATTGTTTACGGTCACTGTATCTCAGAAAACACTGGGTTGATGATGTCCCTGAAATGAACTCAGGAAGGATTATTATGTTAAACCCGACCGACAGATTAATTTCTGACATAATAATAAAGAATTGAGTGGTACTAGTTTCATATTCGAGAAGTTGATTAATTATATTTTTAGTAATTAAATTAATCAATAGACGTTAAATCTTAAATACGGAGATGTAAAATCGAGCAATAAATAGGGAAACGAATTAATTGTAATTCGGAGTTGAATTGGTAGTGCAGTACTATTTCTTTAGTAGAATGATTTATTATTCGAGCATTGAGCGGAGTGGGCTTGGCTTACAGTTGGGCTCATGCTTGGGAAACCCATATTTACCACTTTATTAGGGTCTCTACTATGGCTCTATAAGTACACCAAGTCATAAGCCTCCAAACAGAATACATCATATTCACACACGTTCGGCTTCTCTCCCAAGAGATCCGTTCGATTTGAGTTCTTGACAGTTTTTCAGATTCGAGAGCTTTGTTCGATCGTTCCACCAAAATCGTTCGGATAAGGTGTTTGGGTAATACAGTAGAAGATCTTTTGGTCTTTTACACAGACTTGATTGAGGGTCGATGTAATTGAGCTTTCTTTTTTCGTACGCAAATTCATATTCAGTACAATATATTTGTACCCTGTAATATTTCGGCAATTCACGGGATTGTCTGTTCTTCAGGAAAATCGAGAATCATGACCACTGGAGAATGGCGAAATCATCCCGCACTAGCCAGAATCAGCCATGCCCTAGCCGTGCTCAGCCGTGCAGACCCGTACCGCCGTGTGCATCACCACAGAGACCCGCTCCCAGCGCACGCAATCCCACACAAACGCTTCGTAGGGGAAACAGACGGACGACCCACTTGACCCGCGTTCGCTTCCATGACAACCCGTGAGTCTTTCGTGCGACCCGCGTTCCCCATGCGCAACCTGCGAGCTCTGCATGTGACCCATGTCATCCGAGCATCCCAACGTCCCAGCGTCCCAGCGCACCACCCTGGTCAGTCTGGCTAGCAGCGGCCCAGTCCAGTTCAACTACGGGTCTAGCAATCTGTTCGAGCCCAGCCCAGTTCAATAGCGGTCCAGGAGTCCTGACGAGCCCATGACGAGTCTCGGGCAATTCGACCAAGTCACCAGAGGTTCGGGATGATCTATTGTGAACGACGACCGACCGAAGATGTGAGACGCGAGAGATGGTTGAGGGCCGGTGATGGCGAGGCCTAGTCTGACAACCCAACGGACTCTGAGGTTCAGACGATCTCCAACAGCGGAAATTAGAAGCGTCTCAGAGTCGGAAAAATTTTTAAGCTGTAAGTTCTAATCCTAACTATAGATTCCGCTGCGTTAGGATTTATTTTTAGTAGATTCAAATGTGCACACGGACGATGTTCTTCCTAGAACCCAACATCATCATCACTTGTCACGTAGATACCGCGGTTCCAGGATTTTCTCTCATCAACATATGGATATATCTCTGAAAAAGTTCCCAAGACTTACTATGATCTCCATAAACGAAATCATAAGCGACATTATGAGACTTTAGTGCATTACGATATTTGAGCGTAATACCATGATCATGCTCCAAGTCTTTCGCTATATCTCTTGACTACAATACTCGCCCCTCTGTCAATAATTTAGGCACAGGAAAAGCTCCAATGATCTTGGATGGCAACTGTCTAAGGGTTGCATGTCTGAGATCGAGCATACAATTATGTTGATGGTTGAATTTACATATTCTCTAACTACCATCAACCATTGCATTAGCACGAAGTAAAAATGGCAGTCTTTATGCTTTTACGCCGCCTCAAAGATGTTCAATACTCCACTTTTTGTTTCAAGTGGTAGAATCCCAACTTCATAATCAATTTACCTGCACTACCAATTACCATGCCTTTAAACAATTCAAAGTCCACCACATGAGGAGACTCCTAGACTGGAGTTGGTACATCCAGATGACGATAAGTTCCTACACGAACTTTCCAAAAATTTCTTGAATGAAAAATAGATTCATTTAAGGCATCTTCATTAGGAGTATCACTTAAAGATGAAGTTTTTGCACATTACGAATGTTTTTGCACATTACGAATATTAATACTCTTATTCCGAATGATGTCCTCATATTCATTTATTATGCTCATGTTGGTCATTCTCGTTTCAATATTTGCTATCATTCTCATGGACGTTCCTTTATTTGTTGATATCGTCATTATACCGAACATCATCCTCACCATACTATTTTCACTCCAATCAACACGGTTGGAAAAATCAGTTCCAACATCTCGACAAGCGAAAACTTTCACTATATTTTGAGATTCAGTTGGACTACAATCTTCTGGCACAATATTATTATCAAATCTAATATTTGGGTTGATTTGTCAATGTAAGTTCGCAAAAGATGTAACGATAACACCATATGAATAGTCATACATGTGTTTGTCTCCACACAAAATATCATTGCCTCTGTTTTAAAAATCTTCATACAGAAAACTCCCTAGCTAAATGCATAAAGTTCATCTATGCTTACCTATTTTTTACACATTTTCATCTCAAAGTTCACTATGCACAATTTGGGAGGTCCCTCATTCGTCGACTTATGTCTCATTAACCTTAAACTAAAAAACTAATATTTCAATCACAAATTAAAACAAAAATAGTTTTTGGAAAGCTTTTAGGTAAACAATGTCATATTATAGAAATATAATTTTGAGTTCCAGAAATTATTTATAGATTCGTGAAACCATTTCTTCAGTAATTGATGGTTTCTAGAATCACAGAAACGATGTATAATGCATAGGTCCCAAAATTGTGTCGAGTTCCAGAAATGATATATAGGTCCCGGAAATGATTTTTTGATTTCTAGATATAATTTGTGAAATACCAAAAATGATTTCTAGTAAGTATAGACGATGTCATTTATAAGGCAAAAGAGGTCCGATAATTGTGACTAGTTCTAGAATGATTTATAGGGCCTTTGAAATAATTTCTTGTATTCTAAGCGGGAAAATTTTAAAATTAGTCCCACAGGTATAGAGGGGTGACAATTTTGGTTCCGACGAAATGCAGAAAATATGAATAGTTCCACAGCTTTTAAAAAATGATCAAAAGTATGACTTTTTCGCTGAATTTACTATTTCCGGCCCGTAACGTCACGTGGCATCCGACGTATTCATATTTTTTTACAAGTTGTGGGACTAGTTTTGAATTTTCTGCATTCCATCGGGATCAAAAATGTCACCCTTCTATACTTGTGGGAGTAGTTTTGAATTTTTTCCTATCTACGTCGGATGCCAGCGTGTAAAAAATAAGCCACGTGTGCGCCACGTGGCGCTCCGGGCCAGAAATAGTAAATCCGACGAAAAAGTCCTACTTTTGATCATTTTTTAAAAGCTGTGGGACTATTCATATTTTGTGCATTCCGCCGGACCAAAATTGCCACCCCCCTATATCTATGAGACTAATTTTGAAAATTCCCCTATTCTAAGCCCACAATTTTTTTTAGTTTCAATAAGACTCTTGGTCTTCAGTTCTTGTAGTTATTCTTAACTTTCATCAAGTCGTTTAGATGATTATGATAGATGGAATTAAAAACTTAACAATATTCCAAGAAAACCGAATTATCTTTATGTATCCCAAATGCCTCAAATGTAATTTTTGTGTAAAAAAAAAAAGAACATTCCGAACTTTTACAGTTTTAAGTATTCTTTGTATTCGAAATGTGAAGATTGCGCCCTTGTCTGATTTTGCAGCAGCAAAACATTTGATTTTCACAAGAGCTATAGTTGTGTTTATGGTTTTTCCATAATATTAAAATCGGTCCAAGTTATCTAGAAAAAATTAATCTCTGACTTTTTACGTTGTATAAAACATTAATGTCATTTTTTGTTTTGTTCTTGAATTCACAGACATCATTTCATGTTCCCAAATATCTTTTCTTATTATTATTTATTTTTTCCATCATGATTTTTCATTAGCGGCATTTGTCACTTTCTTCAATAGCTTGCATAGGTTGGACTCGAAGCTTGTTTAATGGTGCCTTTTCATTCTTCAAACAAGGGAATCTTTTCTCAAGTGGCAAACAAATATCTGACGCGCCATGAAAGATACACTCTACGATTTTTTATTAATTTATATTGTATCATGTCTTTTGCACTTAATGTGAAAGGCTTTGTTTTAGCTATGTGCTAAAACGAAGCGTTGTTTCATGTTGGACAATATTTTCCAATACGGGTAAGGCTACAATTCCGTTACGGTACCATTCCGTTGGGATTTGTAACCGTTAGATCATCAAGTAACCGTCAATGATAGTTGATCTAACGGTTACAAATCCAACGGAATGGTTCCGTAACGGGATTGTAGCATTTTCCAATACTTTGATCTTTCTTTTCTTTTTTTCTTGTTTCATGTTAATGAATTGCCTTGGGGTAGATCCTTTGTGGATTTCATATTTCTTGTTCTAGAATGTTCCATAAATAGTTTCTTGTTCCAAAAACCTTGTGCAAGAAATGGTTTCTTGAGTCAGAGAAATGTGTGCCAACTAATCACATACGCTTACATAATGTTGAAAAATTATTTCGGGAATTCGAGTCAGAGAAATTTATTTTGGCTAAAATGTCGCTGGAAGATTATTGTTAGTAAAAATGTTGATTCAGAAAT